TACAATACACAAAAATTTAAAATCAAGAATTAGACCTGGGTAATCTGTACAATCCGCCAGAATATAATAATTTTTGTTCCCGAACTTTTCTATCTAAAAATTGACGTAGTTCATGAATGCCACACTCGCTAGTGTTAGGACCTGGCATAGCAAACATCCTTAACATGGTATGGATGCGTTCCAATGGGAGAGATTCTAAATTTGTTAACATACCAACGATGAATGACCAAAACATCTGTAATAAGTAAATATATAAATTAAATATTTATACTTGTTTTATACATTAAAAAAAGTATTTGTTTTTGAATAAAATAAAATAGTCTAACATTATTCTATTTAATAAAATTAATTCTAAAATTTTAGTATCTTTTAATGATAAAAAGTTTTTGAGTGTATTTTACATTAATTTCATATCATTTGAAAATGTGAAAATTAACATTTTATTAATATTTTTGTAAATTTTCGTCTAATGGCAACAATTATAATTAAATAAATATCTAAATAAATATCTGAAGACAAAGTCCTACCAAAAACGATATTGGGATCAAATCCAAGCAATTTTATTTACAAAGTTTTCTCTATTTTATTAATAGAGAAAACTTTGTAAATAAAATTTAATAATTTGATATTGTTAATTATTAAATATTTTATTATTGAACTGATTTATTTAGTTTAAAATGTAAAAATTCAGATTACTATATTTTTTGTGTAATAAATGCATATAAAAGTATATTTGATAACATAATTATATAAAATATTAACTGTTATTAAAGCTTTCATTTTTACACAATACATATTTTCTGTTGAATTTGATTTTATATTATAAGATTCATACTATTAAAATAAGAATATTTTAATATTTTTTGTTTTTCTCTCTTTCTGCCCAGTGGGAGCCAAGAAAGTCTTTTAATAATACCCCTCAAGGATTTGGCCAGGTCCACAATGGAGGTGGTGAAGAACAAGCCTCAACATATCTGGGACAAACCACAAAACATTTCTGGGTTTTTCATCGCTTGGATTTGATCCCAGATCTGCTGGAGTAGATTCATCCCTTTGGCCATCCTGCTGTCAATATGAAAGTTACATTATGATATAAAATTATGGTATATTTTAATTATAAAAGAAAATCAAAATATAAAAAGTTAATAGAGAGTCATAAATATTGCTATCTGCTAGAAGAGTAAAATTTTAAAATCCTATATACAAAATTAATAAACTAAATACATTTAATTTTAATATTTTGTCTCTAGCAAAATATTTTACTCTGACAGTACTCTTTTCTTTAGTGCAATAGACAGTTAATAATGTAAATGAGGTTAAATGATTTTAAATGAGATAACACATCAAAAACTTTAATTAATTTTGTATGGACAGCCTGCACTATATATAGTTATTTATCTGTTACTAAACTTTATATAATGTATAGTTTGTGGACTATCCAAAATTTTAACTTAAACATCAATCTACAGTAGAACTCCAATTATCTGAGTTAATGTGGACAAAATGATTGTGGATGGTCACAATCATTTTGGATTAAAAATTATAAATATAAAATATTTATATGGTAGCATTTCAAAGCCTCTTTATACTTTATTTAATTTAATCATAAATGATGTAAAAATACTATTCTTATGTATTATGTAGCTAATAACATACAAAAGTTTTAAGAATAAAAATATGTATTATTGTAGTTACATTTTAACATGAATGATTTATCTCAAATTAAAGTATGATGATGAAAGGTAACAGAAACCAATCATTTTGTAATGCATATTATCATTTTAAACTTTCTTTTATTAATTACAGTATAAGAAAAGTAGTGTATTCACTTATGGGTTTGCCTTGGTACACATCAGAATCAGTTCAGATAATTAGGGTTCTACTATATACCAGTTTAAAATTCCTAATATTTATATTTATGTATGTAATTTTTATCATAAATTATTTTTATTATATAAGATATTTTTTATCAAACTATTAAAATTAATTAAATATAATTTGTGAGATATTATGACATTCAATTTCTAATCTTTAAAATTTTCAATCAAACTATATTTTATAAATAAGAGTTATTCATCAAGAATTTACTGTAAAAATATAAACATTTAATGTGTAAACTCAATGGAATTGAATTTATTTTTAGTCTTTATTCCTGCACATTTGAATCAAAGTATATATTTAATGATATGTTTCAATTTGTTCAACAATAGAATTAATCATTATGTGTAGTAAATGATTTGTATAATTATGAAGCTTCACATAATTAATCTAAAAAATTTTTATAAATTTAAATTACTATTTTAATATATTATAATATAGAATATCTTTCAAAATGAAAAAAAAAATAAATAAATTTTCAATAAAAATCTTTGAAGGTAGAAATTCTGAAATGAAATGAAATTAACATTTAAATTGGATTTTAATGCCACAGCCATAAATTCTATTCTAAACATTGGGTTAAAAATCAATTAAATGTTTTAATAATTTGATAAAAGTCTTAACAAAGGAATAATTAAAAAATATAAACAATTTCTACCTGAAGTTCTTCTTCTTTTTGATCTTGTGATGAAGCAGTGACTGATTCAGTTTCATCCTCTTCCATGACTACTACTTCTTGACAACGTCCTTGCTGCTCTTCTACAAGAACAAAAGTATCATTTTCTTCTTCTCTCAGCACTCCATGGCTTTGCCAGAAAGTAATTTTTCGACGAAGAGCAGAAACAGGAACATGCATTACAGAACTCAGCTCATCTACTGTCCACCTTACTGTTAAGTATTTGTATAAAAGTTACACAAAATTAAGCAACTAAAATGAAATAAAAATATTTTATTCTAATCTGACATAATTTAACTTACGTTTTTCTTGATAATGCCATATAATTGTAGCATGTACAGGAGAAACTGATAATTTTAAAACACGATCCTTCAGTTCAATTTCTAAATATACTAAACCTAAATGAGGTTTCCATGTTAATGTTCTATTTCCTTTTAACATCTCAAATGCAGTTGTATATCTCTGTAAAGCTTTCCAAACTTTAGCTGGTAATTCCAATTTTTCTTCTCGAATTGTAGGCCAAAACTGAGCTGACAGTATCATTGCATTAATTGGAAATTCCTTAAAAATTAAAAAAAATTTATTAAAATTCATTATTAAATTGATTTAAGTTAATCATGTTATTAAGTCATAAGCCATTTAAAATACTATGTCTACTTACTACTCCATCATTAGATGAAGCTTCTGTAGAATTCACATGCCCATTTATACGTCTCGAGTCTGCTACATCCTTTAGCATGACTTCACAATAGTATAACTGTGATTCTCCAAAACGTAGTTTAAGTAATTCTAAGTAGCGTATTTCTCTTTCTGTGTTATAAGAGAAAGATGATAACAAGCGATCTGCAAGAAGTGTGCGATATTCATTGACAAACAATTCCTTGCTTCCGTATATGTTAACCAACATACTGATGATATCTGATGATCTATGACTTTTGGAAGCTTTTGCTGTAAAAAAAATGATTCTTATAAGAAAAATTGAAAAAAATTATTAATCAATTCTATTAAACAATCACATAAAATGTAAATCATTTAATGTTTCTATATTGATAGGAATTTAATAATTCATCATAAATTTACATAAACAATTACTAAGCATTATATTACTATATTTGTGTAGTAATATAATGCTTAGTAATTGTTTACGTAAATTTATGAAGAATTATTTAGATAGCCATGGTAATATGGCATCAGTCTATGCTCTGGGGACAGAGGATTAAATCTGGGCAAATAATTCCAGAAACTTTTTGAGGAGTGGTCTGTCCCAGATAAGTCACATCCCACTCCTCACTGCTTGGCTGTCCTATTATGTACCTGGCCAAACCCACAATGGGCCTGAAAAGAGGGCCCTCTAAGTGCCTATAGGAGTGGAAAGAATAAAAAAATCCTAAGCACTAATTTTTCAGGTTAAACTTTGACTAATATTCTAGATATAACAGATTATTTTATAGTTATTTGTATTTAATTTTCAAGATAACATTTTAAAATTCCATTAGTTGGAACATTTCATTTTTTACAGATATTTCAAACTGTATGTGAAAAAATAAAATTTCAATTCTATTGTATCTGTATTCTTTCAGATAATAATAAAATGAAAATAGGAACTATACATGAAAAAAATATAAAAGATATGGTTTTTACTCTTAAACATTTTTAAGTTTATCATTAGGAAAACAAAGCATAAAATGAAGAATTTTCTCTCAATGGTAAATTTGAAAAACAAAAAAATGTTTGAATGAATGAAATGTCCAATTTTATAATAAATATAAAAATACACATATGTTTTATTACTTTAAAAAATAAATAAAACAAATTTTACAGGAACTGAGATGATATGATTGACTTTGACAATCTGTCACTTTGCACAATTTTATTGCAATTTTTGATTGTTCTTTATTTAAATAATAACAGTTTATAATGCACTCTTGCTAATCTAAACCTATACTACTCTGAACTCTGCTTAATCTGGATCAATTTCGTTTGTTTCTCTGCTAAATGTCTCAGCTAAAAAAGAAACAAAAGAAATTGCAGAATATTTTTTATACAAGTACCAAATACATCATGAAAAAGTTTTAAAATATTTCTGTGAAATTGTTTCTAATTTCCTTTTCTTTACAGTCGACCCCCCTATAACACTGTTGATAATTCCGTTTTATATGAATTCCATGTTGTATGAGTCACTTAGATTTTACAAATATGTGTGCTGTTCACAGCCCAGCACACGTGTTATAGGGGGTCGACTGTATATATATTCCCACTTAGCTGAATTTCTCACTAATCTAAGCACTCCTGTATAATATTATGATTGCCCAGTTGAAAAGTGGATACTTGTCATATTTCATCATGCAAAGTAGTGATTAGTGGACCACCTTAAATATGGGTAAGCTCAACATAGGCAAAGCATGGGCTGCATTAAGTATTGATGGAAATAGATTTTATCTCCAGTAATTGGCAGATTAATGTTAAGTTAGTTATGATGGAAGCATCCAGAATCAAACAATGGGCAGTAGTTCAGTTTTATGTAGCTGAAGAGAATAAGAGTGCCAATATCTATAGACAAGAACAACACTATAACAAAGACCCTGAGTTCAACCTTTATTATTATTGCAGGAGACAAGACATGGCACCACCATTACATACCTGAAACAAAGAACATGAGCAAACAATGTAAACATTCATCCTCCCTGGCCCCTTGTAAGTCCATAACAATACCCAGTGCTGGAAAAGTGATGTTGACTTTTTTTTTTTTTGACTGCCATATGACTTTCACATTTTCAGACCTCTCAAGAAAGCTTTATAAGGGCAAAGATTCATGCCGGATGATGAAGTAAAGGATAGGGTTAAAGAATTTTTTTACCAGCAGTCACCAGAATTCTACACAAGAAGCATCGATCTGCTTGTGAGATGCTGGAATCTTCACTAAACAAACATGAAAATTCCTTTTAGATTTGCACTAAATGTTTGCTAATTCTGATGTGTATCCACTTTTCATTTGGGTAACCCTTATAATTAGTTCAGATCAGAAAGAATTAACTGTAACTGTAAATAATAATAAAAATTTAATAACAAATAATCAATTATTAGTAAAATAAAATGTAATTTATAATAATGTTGAGTAAATTAATAACAACAAACATTTTTAAAATTAAGCACATGGCTTTTAAATTAACGTCAGTCAGTAAGTTAATGAAGCTTTATGTAAGCTAGTACAGTATATACAGGATGATTTTTAATTCATGCAAAACTTTACAGTAATAAAATATAGTATATAATTTTGATTTAGCTATTTTACAAAATTATTTTGAATATTTTATAAATTTGCTTAATAAGTTAAATAAATTAATTTGTTCTTTACTCATTTATTGTATGAGTTATTGAATTTATGCAAATATATGAATTTGTGTAAAAATAACAGCTAATAATATCATTGTCTCAATTAGAAATTGGATGAGATAATTGTCATGATGACAGTGGCTATCTCAACTAATTACAATCAATATTATTGATAATATGCCAATAGTAATTAATTTATCAATACATTGATTCATTTTTTAAAATAATTTCAGTATTTAATATAATACAAATAATATTAAGGGCATCAATACTATTGAATTCAAAAGCAAAACCATTTATTCTAATAAAAAGTAGAAAAAGAATTATTCATTCAATGTATTATTTATGATTGTGTCCATAGTTAATGTTTGCATTAGTTGGTCATATTCATTCTGAAAACAATGCCTCTTTTTTTCTCATTTCTCATTAAAATTGATGACAATCATTAACCTATTTTCATAGAAAAATCATTTTATCTTTATATTGTGATATAATTAGAATTATTGTGATTTTACAGAATGTAAAGGTTATAAGATAAAATATGTCAATTATCATAACTTATCTCAAATGTTAATAAGCAAATCAAGATAATCTATACTTGGAATGTCTGACTAATAAATAAAATTATAATCGAATAAAAGTTTTTTGTACATGGTATATCTAATTAGAGTTTTACTGAGAACTGCTAATATCTTTGTGGTTATAATTAAGAATGGTAATATGTATAAATCTGATAAACTGTATTTCCACACAAATAAAAGCATGCCCTTATATGTGAAAATGGCTTGATTTTGCATTTTTGAAACATAACTTCAAAGAAACAAATATCCTGCTTTGCTCCTAAGACCTTGCTCTTATATGTGCCAGCTTGTTTAGACTTATAAGAGTACTGCACTGCTGAATCAATGTAAATGAAATGTAAATATACTAATACAGTAACTATTCAATAAATCTCAGTGGTAACCATTATTAAAAATTTTAAAAGTTCTTTCTATACTGTAAGATTTTTAGGTAGTGCTATTTTGCCTCATCTATAAGACCATGCTCTTATATGCACAGAAACATGATGTATTATAGCAGTCTCACCAAAAAAAGAAACAGAAAAATTATTATTCTAAGATTGTGCTCAATTACTAATATATTGAGAATTTGAAGTTATTTACTGATTTATCATTTTAATATTCAAAGCATATCTGTTAAATTACTATGCTAATTTTATACACCATTATTTAAGGTAATTTTTATAATTCAAATTTCTAAAATTTTATTACTTTCTTAACTCAAATATATATAAATTTTTTTATTCAAGTAAAATGTATTTATTTTGAGTGAAGATATTTGAAAAATGAAAGGATAAACATAATTTTTTCTTCATTTTTCAACGTAATCAACATTATAATTAATACAATACAGGGTGTCCCATTTAAAACTGGACCTTAAATAATGAAGTATTGGTTATATATGTTTCTATAATATATTGTGAATAAAATTGATTTAAAATAATTTATTCAATCCATGAATGGAGATGCTTTTACATCAGAGATCTTCTACATAGTATAATAGATTAACAATTGAGTCTATTCATAATTTAAAATTAATATGTTATTATTATTATGGTAATTCATTTAAGAAAAGCATAAAAATGTTTTAATGATCTAGAACAAAAGTTTAATACTTAATGAGTATTAAACTTTTGCTCTGATTGTTCTGTTATAAAATAATCTAATAGTTGAAAAGATTTATAATAAAAGTGTTTTAATTTAACAGTTCTAATTTTAAAAAACGCAAAGCTAATTTCAGTAAAAACTAAACAATATGCAAATCAATATTTTACAAAAAAAGTTATCAGATATTTTATGGGTAACAAGAATTTACATAAAATTGTATGATGTATGAATATAAACATAATTAGCAATAACATTTCTGAACTAAGAGAAAAATTAAAAATTTTACATTTATCATTTATGATATTAGCATGTTTCAGTTTGTTCCAGAAGAAAATGAAAATAATAAAAAAATAATGAATATGAATAATTAATAATATGTAATTAATATTTATAAATTATTAAATTACACTCAAGTTTTATTACATCTATGTTTTAAGTTAATTACTTTGTTTGAAATTTTATAATTTTACCTAATGATTGCAAATAGTAATTATCAGCATAAAACCTTTCTCACTAATTTCTAGCCTTATTAACGTTTGTACTCCAGTTAATAAGGCTAGAAATTAGTGAGAAAGGTTTTGTGCTGATAATCTTAGAAATAGTTCTAGCTACATATGCATAGTAGTGCAAATAGTAATGTTTTATTTGATATACAGTATATTTAATAGTAATAATTTTGAATAATAAATATTTTGGTCAAAACATTTTATAATAATAATTATAATAATAATCTGTATCATAAGCTGCTGCAAGAAAATTGCACAAACTAACTTGAATGACATAGTTGTTACATAACAACAATGTTGTTACCAACTATGTCATTCAAGTTACTTTTGTAGAAAGCATAGCTTTCAGTGCAGTAAGACTTGGTATGACATGCTACAGAAGGTTGCATTTCTTGTAACAGCAAATATTTTTCATAAATACCTTTTAAACATCCAGGTCTCT